AGTTTATTAGTTTACCTACAAAATAAGCACCAATATGAAACGTGAAACACAGACTCTTTTATTTAACACTGACAGACATCTAGGAGATGATCCTGTAGATAAGTTAAGGACTCTTCCACATGGAGAGGTAAAGCTTGGTCGAGGTCAGCCTGAGATCTGGACAGAAAGGCTTCAACGGCTTCCTGAACGGCAGGTCGTGATACCCTGTCATCAGGCTTATAGACTGACATACCAACTCTGCCTCTGGGCTCTGTTAATGAGTTGCAGAGATAGCCTGTGGATAACAGATAACGTAAATTAGGAGGACACACAAACAAACATTGTAGAGTTAGACAGTTGATTGACTTATTGTTACAGTGGAGGATGTGGTACACTGGGTACAAAAAAGTGACTGTAACCTATGTTTTAGAGGCATTCACCAGGAAAGGCAATAACAGTGATTTAAAAAAAACATCACAGGGCAATAATGCCACAAACAACAGTGCAAACAAGACTCCTGTCAGCAGGAAATGTGCAAGCTCATCCAATAGGCACATATTGCAATTTTTAATCTATTTATTTACCTGCCTCTATAATTTGCTAAATACTGAAAAAGCTGATAACGCTGTGTACAACAAACATTTATTGTATCAATGCAAAATTGCCCTCATTGTCGCCATCAACAATCATCTTGTCTTCAATATTATATACTTCATAGGAGACCATTTATCTACCACAGCTGCAGATACTGCGAAGCAATTTCCAGCTGTTTACCAAAATCTCACCTTTCATTGCTTTGTTATAGCTGAGCAGCAACATCCAGAGGAGATGCACCAACTCCTCCCACTTGAGCCACTTTTCAGTGCCATCCTAGAGATTACAGACATTAATCAGTGGCATTGAATCATCGTTTATGGTCACTTGTTTTGTTTTGTTTTATTTCTCTCAAAAAAATTAAATAGAACAAGAAACAAGAATCACAAATTTGTGACTTGAAAACATCAACAAGAAGCTGTCTGCGTCTCTAAAGTGAAGATCACGATGATATAAATCATTCCCATAGTATACTCAATTACAGGCTCACAATTATGTTTATTTTGAGGCTTTATTAATATACAGATGTTAACAGTAGCTGATGCTGATTGTCCAATAATAGAATTTGGAAAAAACATGCAAATGAGGACACAGCACACTTTATTTGGTTGTATTAAATGCAGTATACTGGTACACAAAAAGTAGGCCTGAATTAAAGACTTGGTCATGTTAGCCACATTAGCCATGCACTGTTCTGTGGGAACACTACTATTGAGATAATGATGGCAGACTGTGAGGCAACTAGATTTAGCTGGCTAAATGTTGTTTAATCCTAAGCCAAAGCTGCCACTATAAATAAGAAACACAAGTCTAGTGTTTCAGGCAGTGTATCAACAGTTTCCTTTCAAGAGAAGACAACATAACGTTGCAAACTTTGGGAAAATCTACACAAGGTAAATAGCACACACTAAAGAACAGTGGAAACCCCTCCCCCAAAAACATATTCTGGGAACTAAAGTACTGTAAAGAAGTTGGCCAATGACATAAAAATGAAGATAACAATCAAGAATGTAATATTCACCATAGGGTCTGGTGCTACAGTGCAGTGTTTTAGAAAGTGAAGCAGCAGACTGAGCGACATGGGCAGTGAGATTTTCACTGGGCATGCATAGTCCAGCAGATGTTCCAACAGCTTACATCTCAGCAGCTTACTCTGTAGGCTCTCCAACAACAACATCCTGGGAGTCAAAAACAGATCAGTCAAAGGCAGCTTGAAAAACTGGTGGGAAAAAAGGGTCAACCTTGCTATTAGAATAAATATATGTTTGCTTATATAATTTACTTAATTGATGTACTTACAAGATTTAAATATATTTCCATTAAAGCAATGCAATGAAAACACAATTATTTATTTTTCCATACAAACAGCCCTTTATTTAGTTTAAGTGAGGAATTTCTATAATACAGACAGATAAATTTTGTTTGTGATGATATTAACACTCATTACCACAAACAAGCAATATTTGGGCTGCAAAGGCAAGTACCCAGCAACATAGGCAAAGTAATAGGATAGGACAACAGGAAGCACTGTTGAGCCTACAGTGGAAAAACGCCAAAAAAAAAAAGAAAGCCTGGAGACTTTTCAAATAAGGATTATAATGTTTTTAAAAAAGTGCTCTACAGGGAGGATAACTACAGAAATACTTAAAAAAAGAAAAATTGATTTCTGGCTTCTTGTATTTACACTTTCCACTTCACATTTTAGTAAGCTCCTTTTCTGTTTTGCTAAGAGTTCAAACGATTCAAGGTAAAAATGTAAAAATGTTCGCGTAAAAATTAAAAATAAAGTACTCATCATTCCATAAATTCTGATAGAAAATGGAATGAAAAACATTTACAGACTACTGAGTAAAAATAACGTGATTTAGTCTAATAGATTTTTCCCTACACCATTAAATATTCTGAACACACGTCTCCTCCTCACCTGTGAGCTCGTAGGGGCACGTTACTGATGAGCATATGGAAGAGCTCTTGGGACAGCTTGGCAGAGGTTAGAGCAGGAGAACAATCCACCTCCAGAGCCAGAGAAAGCATCCTTTGCAAGCAAGACACCATTCTGTAGGAGACAGAGACATACACTTTAAAAAGCAGACAGAAATTGGAATTGTTAAAACCTTTCATAGTTTTAGCTCTGTATGCCAACACAGCAGATTTTAAATCAAACAGTCGAGATGCATTTTCAGTCCTGACTTTAAGGGGTTGAAAAAAATAAATAAAATACATAAACTGTAGTCCTGGAAAATTACAGCTGAGAATATAAACTTCAAATGCATATATAATGTTTTGTTACAAATTTTTTGTGGTGGTGTAAAAAGCCAAAATCACACCACTAAATCACTGTCTAAACATTTCTATAGCTAACTGTGACATACATGCAAATCAGTTGTTTATTCTGCTCAAACTACCACTTCTTTATTTAAGAACAATTTATTCTAATTCACCTCATATATTCTCTTTCTTGGGTCGTTTCTCTACCCTTTCCATGCTCTGTTGATTTCATAATGGCAGAAAACAGCCATTTGATGACCTCCCTGTAAAAAAAAAATAAAAAATTTAAAAAAAGATATCAAAAATGACTTTAAATATGATACTTATAAAGAAAATGGCAAAATAATTAAAACAATCTGGTTTGTCACTGGGTGTATGTGATAATTATTTGTTGTCAATTGTATGAGTATTATACTTGATGAAAGATGTCATCATTAAAACTGTGAATGACCATTTGTGTCAACTAAACCTGAGTATTTTTGTTTGTTTTTGTATAAATGACGGTAGGTTAAAAATGAAAAAAACACCTCTCTTCTTAACAAAACATTTGCTTCCATACTGTTAAAACAAACCCAGCAGAATATCTTCACAGAAGAAAGTTTTACCCAGGCCTCCATCATAAACTCGCCAAGTAAGGGTATCCAACCTCAATGATATACAATCAAACTCAAGTGCTTATGTCCAAAGTTACCCATGTTTATAATACAGGTTGGCTATCATGCTCACCTAACCCGGGGAAACTGCTGATCACACGACAATGTTGCCTTTGCTATCGAATGGTGCAAGGAGGATGTAGAGCATTTGGCCCGAAAGTCGTCCTCCAAAGTCTGCACAATGTACTCCAGGAACATGCGCACCACATCACACCGATGCCTTTGTGTGTGCTCCTAAGGAGGCAAAAGGTTAGCAAGTAGGGAAATGATATTGGGCTGCAAATGTCTGCATTTTAGAGCAGATTGAAAACAAAAACAGCCTGACAAACAAGGTGAAACAAGCAAGCAAACTCAAAATGTTTGACTAGTAATGGGACTGCAAATGTTTTTCACCATTGCAACTAAATTATTTTCAATATGCTCTTGTTCATAGAGTTTTTGGATAAACTTCGTAAATCAGTACCTCATCGGTCATGACTGAGGTCAGTAACTCCCAATCCCACGGAACTGTGTTTTTATCAACCATGTGGTGCCTGCAATCACACAACATTCTTAGTCTAAGACATTCAAAGACCAAAAAGCAAGTGACAATTTGTAAGATATGATGCAAAGACTATGCAATTTAAACATACTCATCAAACTCATATTGCTACAGTCTCTTTACCTTTGTGACCTCATCAGGAGCTTAAAAGCCTGCACGCAGAGGTGATGAGGAGACTGTAGGTCGAGCAGAATGCCGTGGAGTAGGTGTGAGGTGATATCTCTGGGGGGATAGTAACCAGGCTGTAGTAGGTCAGACAAAAGCTGCAAAGTACCTTCTGGATAGTTCTCATCAATCGTACTGTAAACCAGACTCAGACTCTGGCGACATAGCACCTCGGGAGTTACAAAATCTTCATCATCCTCTTCAAACTATGGAAAGAAAATGCACTTGCTTCAGCATTTGATCAGTTAATGAGGGTACCAGGAAATACAAATATAGATATCTGGGCAGCAGTCTCTCACCATTGCTTTTTGAGATGTTCCAGCTAGTAATTTCCTGAGTGTAGATGGGCACACAAAATGTCTATCCTCTCTACTGACCGCCCTGCAGTCCATGGTCTCTTCATTCATGTCTTCTCCATCACTTTCATCTTCCCATGGGAAAGACCCTGGACTGTAAAGTCCAAGATCTCCCTTGTACGTCTCAGTCTCCAACTGCCATTCAGGCGTATCTTCAGCTGATTCAGATCTAGGAGATGACTCAGCAGGGCTCTTTCGACTATGAGATATAGGACTTGTATTGGAGGGAGGGTCAGGCTCAAAAGGCTCAGAAGAGTTTGATGCAGTAGTAGGAGAGAAGGGGGATGAGTTACCAGAGCTGCAGGGTTGTCTAGATTTTTCTGGTTCGTCTAATTTTGGCTGATTCAGGTCAGAACAGGGGGATTCCATTTGAGCTTCGTCCTGTGATGACGATGCCAAATCTATGGATGTAATAGGTAGAGCTGAACTAACTCCATCGCTCGGACCATCGTGTATGTCCTGTGATGAAGATGCCAAATCTATGGATGTAATAGGTAGAGCTGAACTAACTCCATCGCTCGGACCATCGTGTATGCTATGCTCTTTTGAACTTGCAACAGAGTTTTCTCCCACTGAGCGAGGAGAATCTGCAGGGCTATGTAGGTGCTGTGGTTCATCATCTTGTACCTGTGTGTTTGTACATTCCTCACTGTTGTTTTCTTGTCCATCCTTAGGAGGAGACACATCAAACAAAGGCCCAACGTTAGAAACGTTTGGAGTCGTAGTTGTACTTAAATTACTATTGCAACAAGGTGCTTCACCATGACTGTTCAGAGACATTTGAGTACAATCTTTGGTCACATAGACAGAACACTTTGAGGTTTTCAGTTCTGCAACATGTGTTTCTAGAAAAGGCAATCGTTTCAACTTTACAGCTGGTGTGTTAGGACAGGGGGCTGCTTTATTGTCTTTTTTTGGATCTTGTGTTTCAGGTATTTGAGGATTTAGACGTCTCTGCTTTGGTTTTGGGTCACCACAGTCCTGCTGTGGAGCACAAACAACGGAGTCCGTCAAAGGCGTTTTTTGGTTATTAAAATCTTGACTTTGTGAGATGTGATTTAAATTTGTATTTGTGTTTGTGTTTTTTGATTGACAGTCATCTGGTGGTAAATTCTCTGTCTCCTGCTCTGTTTCATTTTCAGTCAAGTCTACTAATGCTGTGCCAGTGCCATTTTGCCTTCTCCGTAGCTCTGGAAGAGTCCATCTTGGATCTGTGAGGTCAATATAATTCTAAAAAAAAAAGGAAAAGATAATTATTAAAAAATTAATATTAAATCAAATATAACCTTTGATTGTTTTTTTCATTTCTGAAAGAAATAGGGGGAAGAAGGAAAATCACCCTTACCTTACTTCTAAAAGATTATTTAGCTTTTGTAACTATGTACCACTTTATCTTATTATAACAGGTCTTATTAATATTGAATTATTCCTGAAGAAAACTACAGAAATTACAAGAAAACTTGCTCAGAGAATTTAGGATACACTGAAGGTGGTCATACCAAATAGTGTCTGTAATTATTCAGACTTTATTTTACCTGACTTACCTTTAAGTTTTCTCACCAGTCCCTCAACATAAGCTTAAAAAATACTCTCTCCATTTAATTACATATTCATCTTCTGTGAGCTTCAGTTACAGTTATAATAGTAATATTTCAAATGCATAATATCTAACCACCTCCACAAATGTCAGCCAATGGTTTTGGTAGCGGTTTCAATCAACTCCATCAAAGGCAAGAAAAGTTTAACTGGTCACTTCCAGTCACCAGCAGTTTATTTAGCTGTTGTGAAGTCCCTGAATGCCACTGACAATCTATGGTCTCTGGTTATCAACTTGCTGCTTGTCAGTTTATGTGTGGTTGCACCTCCCCTAATCAGTTATCAGGATCTGCCCAAGTACTGACTAACCAGACTGATTACCATCTGCAACTAAATCTTCAGTTTTCTTTCTTCTTGCTATGTCAAATGCTTTAGAAAAATTGATCAACAATCCAATGCAACACTCCTTGACTAGAGATGCGATCATATAATTTACTGACTCTTATGATGCTGTCAAGGTACTACACTATATTGCCAAAAGTATTCACTTGTCTGCCCTCACACATATGAACCTGAGTGGTGGTCCATTCTTAATCCATAGAGTTTATTATGATGTTGGTCAACCGCTTGCAGCTATAACAGCTTCAACTCTTCCGGGAAAAATTTTCCAGGAAGTTTTATAAGTGTGTTTATAGCCATTTTTGATTATTCTCCACAACTACATTTGTGAGGTCAGACACTGAAGTTGGACAAGAAGGCCTGGCTCAAACTCTCCACTCTTATTTCCCCCAAAGGTGTTCTATCAGGTTGAGGTCAGGACTCTGTGCAGTCAAGTTCTTCCACACCAAACTAACTCATCCATGTCTTTATGGTCCTTGCTTTGTGCACTGGTGCACAGTCATGTTGGAACAGGAAGGGGCCATCCCCAAACCTTTCCCACAAAATTAGGAATATGAAATTGTTCAAAATTATTTGGTATGCTGAAGAATTAAGAATACTTTGCACTGGAACTAAGAGACCGAGCCAAAGTCCTGAAGAATGATCCCACATGATAATCCCCCCTCCCCCAACCTTTACACTTGGCAAAATACAGTCAGACAAGTACATAACACGTCTCCACTGCTGTACAGTCCGGTGGTGGCATGCTTTACAACACTGCATCCAGTGCTTTGCATTGAGCTTGGTGATTTTTTTAAGGCTTGGACAAAGCTGCTCAGCCCTGGAAACCTATTCCATGAAGCTCCCTTTGCACTGTTCTTGAGCTAATTGTCTAAACTGACTGCAGAAAGTTGGTGATCTCTGCCCACTACGCACCTCAGCATCCGCTGACCGCTCTGCAATTTTACGTGGTCTACCACTTCCTGGCTGAGTTGTTGTCATTCCCAATCATTTCCACTTTGTTATAATACCACTAACAGTTGACTGTGGAAATTTCACAAATGGACATGTTGCACAGGTGGCATCCTATCACAGCACCACGCTGGAATTCAGATAGCTCCTGAGAGAGACCTATTCTTTCACCAGTGTTTGTACAAAAAGTCTGCATGCCATGCTTGATTTTATACACCTGTGGCCATGGAAGTGACTGAAACACCTGAATTCAATTATTTGGATCCGTAAGTGAATTCTTTTGCCAATGTTGTGTATCTCCCGGTCAAAACCCACCGGAAATAGTAGTGCAACTGAAAAGCTATGGAGTTTTCTTTTGCAATTTTTATAGATAAAAGAACTAACGCTTTATTTACGTTTGCTTTAATGGCTGATATACACAATGTCTGTATTGTTGGTTAATTGGTTAAACTTAAAACCCAAATAATTATACTTTATGGAAGGACAGCATGTACAGTTCAAGAAGGTACAGAGTTGTTGTAATTGGTCTTACAGTTCTTTTGAAGGTGGCTCTCCCTTTAATATCTGGATGTATAAGACTATGTATAAGACCAAGCCACAGAATAGCGAGCAATTTGAGTCAAAAAAACACTCCTATCAGGTTATCTTATCCTTCCCCATGGGCAGTTTCTCATTTGACTAGCAAATGCTCGCCTGGTATAACATAACAAAGAGCTCCTTTACATAAAATATACAACAAAGATTTTGGTAGACACATTTTACTACGCAATTTAATCCGCATTAATGTTAACTATCATTCCCAGTTTCATGCACTATGAAAAAATTAAAACTATTTAGCAGCGCATTTACAGTACAGTAGTACAGTAGCAATACATTTATAAACAATAAAGACATACAGCACATACTAATGACACCATTTAAACATAAATGCTTGTTTGAGCAACAAAATTATTTTACAATAACAAAGTTATAAACAAAGCGCCAAATAACTTATTTACCTTTAAGCTAGGTTATAGCGTCTTTCACCAGTAATGTCGCTACATTCGACTTGTGCTGCTACTTGACCGCAGAGCGTTAATAAGCAGGCCGTATCTTTTAACTTTTGTTTGTTTTTTCTCTATCCAGGTGACGAGCAACAGTCTGAGAATACCTACTGAAATGTACCCTAGTTTCTACAGCAACCGAGTTTCAGTCCGCTTACCGGTGGGAGGGCGAGCTTCACGGCATCGACTTCAACCCGCACAGCGGAGAGAGGCATCGGGTCAGGCTTGGCAGTGAATGTACAGTAGGACCCGACGATCTCCACGTCGGAGTCGTCTGAGCTGAGACTGATCACATCATCCATTTCTCTTCAGTCATTCAAATTCAGCAGCCAATGCACAAAAGCATCACCTAAAGCAGACCCGTGACGGCCAGGGCAGTCCTAAACAGCCATGAGCTTCCGCCGTAGATGTCTAATTCCGATCATGTTTTGTAGAAAACACAAAATAATGCTTCCAATGAGGCGTGCAACCTTCGGCATTTCCTTGTTGAGATCGTAGATTACATGCGTCGTGTTCGGCAGGTGGGTTAAAACGTGGGTGTATCGCTACAATTCCTGGGTTGCTGTGAATTAACTACATAGAAGCTAGACGCCAAAATTGAAATCCAAACGCTTAAAATGTATTGATAATTGCAATGCAACATATGAAGTTTATGAACGCTTCCTGTTTTTTCTCCCCATAGCTTTTCTTCTATGACTGTGGCGGGTCACAACAAGCGCCATACTTGAAATGATCTCCACCTGCTGTACTGGAGTGCAACCTGCCAGCGCAGATTCTGCCTGTCCTCAAAGAAAATTAAGGACAGACAGAGATACTAAAGACAGACGAACACATCCAAAATACACCTTAATTCCTAAAGTGTGACTGGTTACAGCCAAAGGCAACGGAAACGAGAGGTCACACGTGTCTTTGGACTATCCACCTCACACGATCTTTTTCTAATTTATATTTAAATTATACTTTAAATGTGTTTTCCTCCTCGCCTCATAATGACTATCGATGCTAAATTTTAAACTAATGATCTATTTAGAATATATAAATAGCTTGTCTTACATCAATAAATAAATGATTAATTCTTAATTAGTGGTTCAGAGTGCACATTGAGTATATTTTCTAGGATGTACTACATTTATTTTGAGTGAAAAGCATCAATTATCACACAATGCAATATCCCGTGTTATCTAAAACATGTAAACATAACATAAATACTTATTTAAATATATTTTACTGAAAGAACTTTCCAGAGCCATAGCACCCTTCTTCCTATAAGGTGACAGGGCAAACCACTGCACCGCCATGTCAACCTATTTTATTATTACGTGTCAAGGTACTTTCTTTTTTTTTTCTTTTTTTTTTTTGGCCTGTCCCGTTTGGCTCTTTTGCCATCAGAATTGTT